AAGGCAAATAGACAGTGGATGTTTACGTGTGCCTAGATTTCACACTGATTGTTATAAGTGTAGCCCAATTGTTTCTTCCATATTTGAATGGAATAAGCTAGATAATTCATTGAGAACGGCTTCCTCTGTCAATTCATTTAAGAGATTGTTTAAACAAAGTTGTAATTTGTGAATGGCTCAGCCGTACATACACTACGTGCATGTTCTGTAATATTTACATGACTTATTCACATAATTGCGACTTAATTAATATTTTCCTATTGACATTACTGTTTACTAGGTTAATGATTATATTTATTTTGCAAACGAGTATTATTTTTGTAACTGTTCTGTATAAATGTTATAAACGATGTAAATATGTTCATTCAGGGCCCCATGGAAGACCACTACTTGTTGGTGAATGGGCTACCCTGTCAAAATATTAGAAATAAATAAATAAATAAAAAATCCCCTCTCTCTCTATCTCTCTCTCCCTCCCCCTCTCCCTCCCTATGTCTCTGTATCTTTCTCTCCTTCTCTCTCTCTCTCTCTTGCATTTCTTTCCCCCTCTCTTTCTTGTTCTATTTGTTAAGTCAATCCTTTGTTCCTTTGTAATTTCTTCGTCATGTTTCGTGGTCAAGTTGTTTGAATATTCGACTGCAAGAAATGTGGAAGTAGTAGTAGGTTAGACCCCGTAAAGGGCTTGCAATTACACAATCACAAAATCTCATTTCCCTTCATTGCTTCTCTCCATCAGGATACTCGTTATTCCCTAGCAAATTGTTATTGTACGATCGGCATATTTTTTTATCTATTTATTTATTTATTTATTTTTGTTTGTATTTATTTATTTATTATATTATTATTATTATTTTATTTTTTATTCATTTATTCAGTTAGGTGTTGTTGTGTTTTGTTTTTGTTGTTGTTATTATTTATTTATTTTTTTATATTTTTTTTTGGGGGGGGAGGGTTGGTCTGAAGAGGCATAATAAAAAGCACAAATGGCGATAAAAATCTACGACTATTACGCCATCTACGAGGGAGACTCGCGACGGTGCGAAAGGGTTTAATTTTTAAGTTTCACAATCTCGCTGACGGATTAAATTAAATATATTTCTTCAGTAGATTGGTGTAAATAAATTTATTAGGGCAAGTGGGACATCGGACAATCGTTTCCTTCCGGCCCTTGGCTACGCCACAATTTAAAAAAATGTTTTACCACCTTTTTCAATCAGAGCAAATATTTCACCTTATTTCAACCCACTGCCTACTGGAACCGAGTGGTCCATTTATTAAGCCTATATTGGTGAGATAATTCGGTGATAATCGGGTTAATAAGAAGCTTGATCAGTGACCACCTCGCCTATGATATAGGAAATTTTATTTCTTCCCTTGAATATATTTTGTTTTCCTTTTGAATATATCTTTGGCGTTCTCTCTCTCTCTGGCCTAGATCGACCTGGCTTCCATCAAGACCATGTTCAAGGAGAAATACACCACCACCCTGGCCGCCATGGTCGAAGACGATACCAGTGGAGACTACAAAAATGTTCTCATTGGTCTCATCAACGCCGATGCTGCACCTACCCCAGCCCCCACCACCACCTAAAGACCGGATGGAGTCATTCCTTACGTATTATGAAGAAAATAACTTTACCACGATTATAATTACTAAGCCACCTTATAAATAGCTGACATTAATAAACCGTGTACTCTCATAACATCACAGGCGCTAAAAGCTCTGGGCGAGGAGTCAATAATAAGGGTGGCCACTTTGGACAGGTAGATAGGTGACCACTAAGACTACAAATGTTAGCTACATGCATCTGACAAAACTCAATGTCTGATGAAGTGGCGATGTTTCCATTTATATCTACCTTGATGCCATATCATTCCCATGTGAGGTTATGAGAGTACACGGTTAATTACTGTGAGCAATTCATAAGCTGGTTTAGGGATTATAATCTAGTACAGTTAGAATTGTGACTCTTTCACAATGCGGTACAGTCTAATACCGTCTGGAAGTGGTGAAAAGGGTGCTGGAGTACAATAAAACCAAGGGATATTAGATATTAAGTATATCGGGGCATGTGCAAATAAATGTTACGTACATGTATATAGCCCATTATCATAAATTAACTGTGCTTAAAACAGTCTTAGATCCCTTTCTATTGTTATATATGACGCTAGCGATTCGTATAATTATAATCAAAACTCTTGACATAATAGTATACTATTGAAGAACTTGTACAGTACATAGAAATCTTTGGTTTTATTGGATAAAAGTAGGTGAGTATTTAATATAGATGTAAATAAGAATGCACTGTGGTTTGATCTCATTTCTGTTTGTAATATTTTGAAATATTCCGAGGGTGTTGTAGAGTCTTGACCTTTGGAATGTTGTGTAGGATTAAGCAATCATACATCCATGGCAATAATATGAACACAAGCTTTATAGAACAGAAGCTCTAAACATTTCAATTAAGGGCCATTCATTGAGATACATGTATGGTCCAGGGCATCTACGTGATTTTAAGGATAAATAACACATTTAATCCGACAGCAACAAAAGAAATGAAAGAAATTTGTCTAGCTTCACCACCTTTTCGGTGTTTAATTACTCAATTACAGTGATTATACAACATCTAAAGCGGCGGACAAAATAGAGAACATATGCAAGTGAAGATTTCCATATTCATAAGTATTCATATAATACTATTCATTACTGTACCTTTGAAACAGTGATATGAAGTTTTTTAGTATTATATTGTACAGTCCAATGTGTGTAGGGATTTCAAATCTAGTTTTTAGTGTGAGAGTTTATCTTTTCTAAATAGTCAGATATTAAGAATTACAATTGAGAAACAAAGTGGAACTGGTTGCATAAATATATTATAGTAACAACATACTTCACTATAATTGTAAAGTATCGTACCTAAAACTATACATATTCTGTTTGCACAAACTAAATTACGTTAAATTACTGACAAGCTTATACAATTGCAGCATAATCCTATGTTTTTTTTTATCAAACTACGTGTGATTTATCAGAAATATGAACTAAACCTTCTGATAAGTGACACAATTAAAAAGTAACCATGATAAAGTTCAATCATGTTAGATGCTGTTATGGGTTTTGTCACGCTTAGCGTTTGTACCGCGGTTCATTTGTAAACTGTGTCAACTCGATATGATAAGGATTACAATTAATGTAGATATGTTTTTGACATTACGAGGAAACCTACTAGGGTTTTCGATACCATCAAAGTGTAACTTCTTCCTATCGTATTTGTATTAAAATCTGAGTTCTTGTTAAAATGGGTTAAAGTTATTACCATTTTCCATAACTGGTAATGCTGATCGACCTATAATGAACGTATTCAGGAAGCAGGTTAATTACCTTCATTTCCCTTTGATATCCCAAATAAATGATCGGAATACGTGTTGTGGCACTGCATAATGTTTGCACAATAATTTAAATCGGTGATAAACGTGGCTATCAAAATTGGCTTAGAATTTTTTTTTTTTTAAGTTCTTTGAGATCGTGTTTTCCTTAACATTTACCATTATCATAGTAATTTATCCATACGAAATATATTGCTATAAATTTCACACTGATCTTGATAATTGAACTATCAATGAAATTTCAATGCTTACAACTTATTTATCTAATTCATTCCGTCTTTTTAAGTATTTTAGATAAAGACAATATATTTCGTTACTTCAGGAGGTGAAGGGGACGAATCGTAAATTGTTATTGCATTAAAGTAAGAACATAAATAATTGTTCTGATTTTCTGTTGTTTGTTTATTTATTGTTGCTTTTTTTGGATTAAAAAAGAAGATATTTTATCGTCATTTAAATCACAAAAAATAACAACAGAATGATAATATATACATAATTAATCATAATACTACATGATATTGAAGTTACATTACTTTAGCATGAATGAAATATATGATTACAAAATCGCACATTTTCATTTTTACATCGCCATATCAAACTATTACAAATGCATAACAAAGCCTATATACGCTTGGTTCCTAATTATTACAGAAATATAATAGAATCATATACAGTTGGAAGTTATTACTCATGTATAAAAATATAACATGTTGTGCAATAAATGAATAATATTTCAAAAAAGAGCCTTCCGCAAACACACATACACGCGCGCACACACTCAAAGACACACAGACAGACAAACATAAAATGTGACCTATCCACCCTCCCTCTACATACCCAAAACTGTCCAAACTCCACAACCCCCCCCCCCCCCTCCCTTTTCGAACCCAGCCACATCTACACAGTCGTTTGAAATCCAGTCTCTTCCACGTCCCACTTGGAGTCTGAGATAGAAATATTAGCAATGTTAACGATACAAAAATGATAAAGCAAAAATAGTAATCAGATATATGGTAACAGGGTAGAAAAAGATAGTGAGATAGACGGATTAAAACTAATGCTGTTGTCACAACTCGCCGTACGTCTTTTTGCACGTATCTTAAGATGCACCAAATTTAGTTACAAGCGCATATTACATGCAGGAAACTGTTAAATTAGAAGATAAAACTCGAAATTCATAAATGAACAACACCTTTTGGAAATCATAACTTCAAGAATACTTTTCAATGGTAATCAACAGTTGGCCTACACATACTTTCCCTTTCGCAGGCACATGGCAAGGGAGGTACGATGGGGTGTCCAAAGTTCGCGGACATTTTAAAGAAAAGGAATACCATATTCGATCAATATTTTTCTCATATTCTACACAAATTAATTTAGATCAATTAGTGCAAATGAACGTTCAAATATTAAACTACAAAAAGGTGCAATTAGAAAAAGTATCGTCCAAATAATTCCGTCGATTTTGCGATCTCTAAATTAGATGCCGTATTGGAATGCGCTACAGCTAAAGAAAAGATCATAAAAACAACGAGAACTTAATTTGCACACAAGAGTTTGTTCACTCGAGCGATTAAAAAAAAAAAGCAACTCAACGAAGGTAAGGTAATTGCATAAATTGCAACTCAGTATATCAAACAATCAGTTGGTGTCACTTTCGACAAACAATTTTGATGACATTGTCTGTCAAAATGAACATTTCCAGAACCTTGGTGATATCAGAATTTCGAAATCTTACCGATTTTTTTTTTGAGATATGGAACAGTCGGCGAATGAAGTTCACACGCGAACTATGGTCACACCACCATACGTATGTAAAATCCAAGAAAAGGTTGAGTTTTTGCAAATATGAGAAAATGATTGCAAGCTTTCTTGTTTTTTAACGTAATTTTGTGAGAGTATCACCGTAGAAATGTCCATCGATAGGAGTCGCTCTTCAAATGCCCTCACATTCGAAATATCACAAAAAACAGCTGAAGAGTTTGGACAATTTAACCTGTCATGCCACATATTTCTGTAGTCCAATACACACACTTCTGTGTTCATGGTATTCATTGCTAGAGACTTTCAACACAACTGTTCGATTTTCTTATCATTTGCATGATTTCAAAACATCACAGTAAACACCACTTATGTGTGCTACCTTGTATAACGATGATCAACCTTTCCCAATCATGGTAATTGCTTCGGACAGCTGACTTTACACTAAAGTCTTAGGACCGGAACTCAACCTTCTTCTTAAACGGGTATAACATTGTTCATTTGCCGGTTTGATCTCATGCTCTTCTGGACCTTTGCCCAGAAGACCTCTTGACCTTCTTCATCCTCTGTCCACAACAAATAAGGCTTGTTCCGACTCAGCAAGAGTCTAACAAGGTACGGTAAATGGTCATCATCGATGTCTTCAAGGAAAATCAGGATGACCTTCTCCAACTTGGTGTCATTCATGTGCTCCACTGTCATACGGAGCTTGGTCATGTACCAGGTATCATCTACAGACTGGTTGCTAAGCAACAATATTGTCTTGTGGCTGTTTTCGATGACGTCATAGATGGCGTTCAAGTAGAACGATCCTGGGTGAAGATCAGCATCGCCAAATATGACGCGCTCCAGATGAGGCATCCTCTGCTCCAGAAAAGGTTTCATGCAGTCATTTACCCACCATTCGTCGTCGTCATGAAACATGAGGTTGAGTTGGAATTCATAGTCCTCCGGATTTCGATCTTCAGTGATCTCATGGTAACCAACGATGGCCAACTTGAGGAGATACAACTTATAGTTTATCCACCATCGGTTCAGATACACGAGTATACCGAGGGTTAAAACTAAAATCGGCGCAAAACAGGCGGAAACGATAATCATGGTATTGATGCCACAATATTCATCCGGATGGAACGACCAAATTATTTGATTGACCAACACCTTTAAGGAGCTGCTAGAACAACGGGTTTGATTTTTGGGAGCAAGATCTATTTTTCCTTCGACCTCGTTCAACCATTGTCTAAACCAGGCAAGTTGGCAATCGCAGGTCAAGGGATTGTATGCAATATTGAATCTAATCAAACTTGACGGCATGAAAGTGTTGGAGGCTACGGTCGAAATGTGATTATTTTGTAAGTACAACTGTTCAAGTTCATTTGTGCCCATAAACAGCCCTTGATGGATGAATTTAATTAAATTATTCTGCAGCCGCAACACCTGTAAATTTTGCAAACCTTGAAAAGCGTCCTTCGGAATACTGGTTAAGTCATTGTCTTGCAGACTAAGCTGAAGCAGGGTCGTTAAGTTTGCAAATGTTCTTGAGGCAACTTGTTTTATACAACAACTTGTTAAGTCTAGCTCAACAAGATTTCTAAGCGGGGTAAATATGCCAGGAAGAGCGTGCGTGGTATTTAAAGAGTTTTGCCGTAGTTTAAGAATCCGCAAGGAGACCAAGCCTGAGAACAACGATGTTCCTGTCTTTAAATCAACTAAATCCTTAACTTTGAGATTTGACCGCGACATATTGAGAACCCTCAGCGCATGTGTGTTCGTAAACTGGTCAATTGATGAAATTTTCAACGGGCTATATGAAATATCCAGATTAAGTAGATTTTGCATATTTTTAAACGAACCTTTCATGGTGAATTCATTTGAATGCGACATGTCGAATAATTCTAAGGAACCGACTGAAGTGAGGGCGTCCCCTAATATTCGCAAACGTTTGGCATTGCCAGAAAGATTAAGTGCTTTCAAATTTTCCAACCCAGTGAAGGTTTCATGATAAAGGGTTTTTATAAAGTTTTTTGTAAGAACAAGAGTCTGAAGATTAGTTACCTCCCATGGTCTGAACGTAATGCTACGGATGCCACTTTGATCTATCACCAGGCTACGAAGAAACAATGATCCGTCAAACCATTGGGGATTTAATGTCACGAGGTTATTACGTGACAAATCAATTTTCTTGAGGTTTGAGGCGCAAGCGAACGAGGCGCGTGGAAGTGACTGTATTCTATTCCCATACAAATTTATGTTTACCAGTGCATGTAAGCCACAAAATGATTCATTATTGATGTTAGATATACGATTTCCTCCAAGGCTCAGGACTTGCAGTTTTTCCAGACCACGCAGAGCAAACCCTGGAATATGTTTTAAGATGTTTAAATCTAACTTAAGGTCTTTAATCAGTGGCACATTTTCTTTTCGCATCGACGATATGTTCGCTGGATGAATGTACTTAATGCCTGAAGAATCAATCAGAAGTCGCTCGATTTCAACATGGCCCATGAAATACCGGACGTCGAAAGTAGCTAACTTGATATTGTTCATGTTCAGAGTACCTAATTTGGGCAAATGTCCAAACGCCTTAGATTGAATAAACGTCACATTGTTATCATTTAAATTAAACTTATCGACAGAGCAATTTCTCCAAGGTAAAAAGTCATCCTGATTTATAGTTGTAAATTTGTTGAAGGATAGATCTACTGCCGACATATTCCGCCATCCATAACAGTTTTCACACTTCTGAGTACTGACGAAAGTGTTGGATATGTTACTGATGTTGTTGTGTGATAAATTTATTATACATAAATGAGCATTCTTCTGAAGATAATAGATAGGTAGAAAAGTAATCAGGTTATGATCTAGTTTCAAGTCCTGTAATTGTGGTAGAGGTTTGAATGTTCCACTATCAATGAAAGCAATGATATTATTACCAGCATTCAATGTTTCAAGTTGGTTGTAATTCAGGAAAGACCTGTTTCCAAGTTCTGTTAATTGGTTATGATGGATGGATAAGCCCAGCAGGCCATGCGGTAGGTCTTGGGGAACTGAGGTTAGATTGAGATGAGCGCACTTAGCCGCGAAGAAATGAAGCTTGACTGGGCATCTATAGATTGGCTGTGGTGAACGGAGTGGGATATCCACTTTAACACTGTGCACGATACCTCCCAAAAATATTATTATCAAGATCAAGAGTGTTCGCGTCAAGGAATCCATCGTGAGTTGAACCATCATGATCGTTCTCCACAAGTACACTGAGCTGTTTGTTAATATCAAATTAGCGATAACACTGATTTCCCATGCTTGGTTTCTGGAATAGAAGATACTACAGGTGCTAGTTATGGCGACATTCTCTCAGGCTCGTAAGTCATATCGAAACTAACGAGTCAGCAAGTAAACTACTAAAGTCAATCAAATATACCACAAGCGCAGTTCAAGCTTTTGTATTCATGGGGCAAATAGGTGTTGTTATTACGAATACATACCATTGCTGTCTTAACGACAGTATCTATAGCTCATTCAGACCAGTAAATAACCCGTATCGATCACGCACTTAAATTTAAGTGATAAGTTATAATCAGCCAGTCATTAATTGGTTTGACAATGGAAATAAAAAGGGTTATAGGACAATTATGACCACTATTCAGGTCAAGTCCTTGAATCATCTTATTATTTTCTCCTTTTCTTTGTGTAACTTTCTCATAATTTCTCGATTCCTTTATTGCTGAAGTATCAATAAAGTGATGTTTAGTAAAAAATGTATCCTTTCACAACGCTAGTTGGAACATAAAAGAGGCTTCAAAGGCACTTTCTTTGACCTGATGAGAATACATCGAAAGCGCTTGTGAGTTTAATCCATGCCTTTTGTATATACCACCAAGCGTTGTAAATTGAATTGTTTTACTATTTTCACTTTGCATCTCGTTTGTCATAGTTTCTCTAAGCATTTTCAACACATACACATACACACACACACACGCACATGCACACGCGCACACACGCACATATATATGTATATATACATACATTATTAAGAAAAAAGTAATGCAAAAGCATATCAAGTCATAATATAAAACGTTGTCCTTAAAATGCATACATTGTATAAACTAACCCCATGAATCGAGACCAGCAGCAACAATATAGTTGCAGCTCATAATGGGCTACCAGCCGTATTTTGTTCTTTTTCTCTGTATGATTAATTTGTATTTATTTTATCTCATTTTATTATACGGAAATAATAACAAAAACACACAATAACAAAGAGAGAGGGATGCAGAGAATTAATACTACTCTATGTCATGTCTATTAAAGAATTTACATCTACTCTAAATAAAACCAATCTTGATTAAAATATTATGATAGAAAAGGGATAAACAGCAGAAACATAATAACTATTGGCACATATTTTTACCTACAGCTAAGTGATATCCATATATTCATTTAGTCAAGACTTGCACTAATTAAGAACACAATAACAGAATGTTGATACTTCTAAAATTATTTTACATTACAATAATTGAGGCTTCTTCAATTTATAGCAGACATTACAAAAATCAATAGCCGACGGCCAAAAAATTAAAGAAGCGCTGTAAAATAAATGTACCCATTAACATCTGGGTGGAGAGTGGCAACTATGAACAAACGAAACCTTAACCATTGGATTGGGAGTCAAGTGAATGAACCACTATACTAAACACATCCACATGAACATCTTACCCTTGAACATCTTACCCATTTAGCAAGATTTTCATGATAACTTCCAAACATGAGGACGCCCTAAGTGGATATGATGCGTATACGAAATTTATGCAATGTCAGTATCTATCCTTAAGTGCTGTGAATAAGTGGTTTGCAATGAAGCAATAGTCGGAGAAGTGGTAGTAGAAGTAGTAGCAGCAGCAGTAGTGGTAGAAGTAGTTGCAGCAGCAGCAGTAGTAGTAGTAGTAGTAGTAGTAGTAGTAGCATTAAAGGTAGAAGTAGCAGCAGCAGCATTAGTAGTAGTAGTAGTAGTAGTAGTAGTAGTAGTAGTAGTATAGTAGCAATATTAGTAATGGTTCTTTAAATATTCATCTGGAGCCAACTGGCGGAATTGAAGAATTTCGTACAAAGTAGAAAGAACATAATTAACATAAACAAATTGAACAATAACAATAATGCTTTGTAGCAGACATAAAATGCATTTAAATTGAATTCAATCTTGGGGGGGGGGGGCTTTAAATAAACAAATATACAGGTGAATAAATTACACATCGGTTGACAATATGTGATCACAGAATTACGTCGTTCTTCAGAAATTATATTTATTTTTAGATGAGCGAAAGATAACTAGAGGACAGAGAAAACTTGGTAGAACATGAAAAATGCAGACGGGTAGAGAGAGAGAGAAAGTGTGTAAGAGTAGAGAGATGGAGAGGGGAGAGTTAGAGTGAGGAAAGAAGAGTAATGGTAGATTTATCATTAAAATGTTCCCCCTTCTTACATCTTCATATTTTCGTAAGCATCTTCCTTGTCAGCAGGTCGTGGCGTTTCGAATACTTCACCCCGATCACGTGAAGATCCTTTTGGTAGCTTGTGAGGGACAGCGTCAAGTTCCATGTAAGCTTCCCCATCCTGTTGTGGTCCGTTGTAACAGTTCTGATTGGCTGTCTGAGGATACTTCCCTTGTTGCTGACTACTAGCTTCTTTTGCTGATCTCCTGCAGATGTAGAGACCCAATTAAACATGACAGATAAATAAACCATATCATATTTCTTAACTGCATTTAACAGTGACAACAAGATGACAGTGAAAGAGAGTTAGCATTTTCTCTAGTTACCTGAATTTTTATTTTAAAATACATGTATAAATGAATGAAATTGACATTGTGGAAGAAACTGTCTGGGGGCAATTGAAATAAGGTTGATTACTTAGAAGAAGGGAATCGGTGTATAATACAGGTTTTGTAATCACCATTTAGAAGGAAATCGACTTTGTCAGTCTTGTTGAAATTAAGTCAGCTGTGCATGCACTGCACACGGAAATGCACAGAGCTATAGTGAACTGCACACATTATAATGAATATTATATCTCGAAAGTGAAGTCCAGGGCCTGTATTCATTAAATTTTTCAATCACGACAATGTTTAACTATCTCTTATGTTTTTGCATAGAGAAAGGTCTTTGCATTGGTAAAGGGCATTGGTGGTAAGGATTTTACCCTATTAAAGGTTTAGTTGATATTCTAAGATTCTGTCTGAGTTAAGCCCCCATCATACCAAACTAGTTTTCACTACGTTCTGGAGAATGTTGCCAAACGGGCTCATACTGTGTGAAAAACGAGTGAACGTAGTAACATCTGTTTAAAAATGTCTTTGAAGTTTATTGAAAACGCGGCCGAGACTTTTAAGTTTAACTCGTATTGTTTCGAAAATAAGAGTATTAAGCGAAGAGTCATCTCTTTTAGGTGCCATACAATAGTCTGCCAACTTAACTTGACAAAAACGAGCAAAGCTCACAAACAAATGTTTAACAATAACAGCACTCAACTTTCACATTATTCTACAAAATAATAACAAGCTAGATGAATTCTCAATGTAACGTGCTTTGCTATGATACATACCTATACTTCCGCATCATTACTGTCACGATGATACAACCCAACAGGATACCAATAACTGCAACAGAGAGGAACCCTATTAAACCTGGGAAAGAAATGATATTGGCATTTTTTTTTAAATCAACCGCCAACATACAAAGAGCACATCAATGTGCATCGTATAAAGGAAGGAATGTTTAGGAACCGTACGAAACCCCAATTCTGATAGACCTATAACAATGTGAACATTGTACATGTATATATTAATGTTATTCGTATCGTTGTATTAAACATTTACAACAATTGCAACTAACTGGTTACTGGAAACTAGAATAATAACTGATCCTAAATAATTAAATACAATTGGAACAGACTGTGTACCTCGTAATTATAGCAGTTTTTTTCCTAATTCTCTTCATATAAAAACATCTATCACTGTCCGACAGGACCCAAAATCAATGTATTTTGTTGAACTATAAAAATGTTTCATTGAAACTCTCCATATTTATTTTCTTATATTTGTTTTATACTTCGAAGTTTATATATTGCATACTTCTAGTAAAAGCGAACAAAGAAAAAACAAATCTTTTTTACCACAAGCTGCTTTTTATAAAATAAAAACAAATCAGAAAAAAATACACAATAAGTCTGAAGAAAACCAAACAATGTTTATGTCATTTTAAAGAGGTAAAAAACTTTATGGAGATCACTATCGAACGTTTATTCGTGATGTCTGTTTGTGATGTCATTCCCCTAGTATTGAACAACATATTTTTTACATTTACATCGTCTTATATTTCAAATCTTTTTTCAAGTCCATTGTATCACTCGTCAAGTGAACATTTTCTTTCACCGACCGGTGTCAATAATACACTGGCCACGAGGGGAGAAACTTTCAATAAATGAACTTGAGGAGAATTTCAATACCTCATCGTTATATATTCAATAAGAAATTATGTTCTGATTACGCAATACGTGATTGTCATGCACCACGGTCATTAATAGGTAACACGCAAAGCTAATTGCCTTATGATGGTCCGTCGGGAGTGTTCGCGATCGTGTTACTGACTTATAATTAAATCCGTCCAAGACACAACGGAAATGAATGGAATATATAACATTTAGTAGAATTTAATAAAAGTTAATGATATATACATGGTAAGCATTTGTAGGCTAATATAATAACTTGAAACTAAACTGACCATATGTGGCAGGCTGGGATAGACCAATCTTACTGCCATTCGTTGTCATGGTTGTAGAGGATTCCTGGCTCACTTCTGTTAATTCAATGAATGAATATGAATCAGGCCTTTAGTTACGTGCATATCGTTAATTAATTATTTTACAACTCACTCGTATATCCTAATCAAATGATTGGTGAAACGCGGTAACATGTGATTCGTTTACTGAAACTATCCGACGGGTTTATTGTGCATGTATTGACTACAAGAAGGCATTTGATTTGGTTGACAAGAGTTCTCTTTAGAATAAAATACTTTAAAATAATGTTGATGGTAACTATTTCCATGTAATTAAGCATATGTACGCTCAGGGTAACTCATGTGTACTTTTAGGTTCAGAAAAATCTTTATTCTTTATTTGATTGTAACATTGGTGTGCGACAAGGAGAAACTTTATCTCCGATGCTATTTGCCCTTTTTATAAATGGTTCAAACAATCTATTTGCGAAAAGTTTAGAGGAGTAGATGTTCTACCTGACTGCGTATCAAAACGGTATATATGTATATCGTCCTCAGACTGTTTACAATACTGTATGCAGCTGGATGGACGATGGCTCTTCAATGAGCTCATACGCCCTTAGAGGTATATTTCTGTTTGTTTATTTCTACCGGGGTATCCAGCTACCCTCCTAATCAGACCCCTCGTGAGCTCTTAAAGAGATGTTGGTTTTAAATAGCAGCTGACAGCCCGGCCCTGGAACAGGTAGTACTGGTTTACAGGGTACCAGTAGCAGATCGACAGAACTGACGGTCAGCCCAGATGACCTGCCTTTGCAATTTACGAGTTGTGTAGGTTCGCATGGTGAAACAGACAGAAGTGTATATACATGTACAAGTTTCCCGAAGCATATTGCTTATAGTCACTGGTGTGGACTGAAAGAAGAGTCATAACGTTTCAATAACCATTCTCTGTGTGGAGCATTAAGATTATTCTTTCCTAAATAATTATTTTCATAACTTTTGCCGAAAGATCCACACAAGTTATTTTAAGGACTACGTACACGGTGTTTTTTGAAATACAATGCAGAATTGTCTTGAAGAATTCCTTGGGATAAACAAAATTTATTTAACGGAAATAAAATTTCATATTAAACAACAATTAATTGCTAGTAATATATTAACGTTGTTGTTGCTGTTCTTGTTCTGTCTCGTTTTGTGTTGTGTTTAAACTGCAATTACCATGTCCGATGCACAAGACGCCAACATCCTCCGAGTGATCACAGTCATGGGCTTCGTAGTCACTTCTTCGACAATGGCCTATGTTTGCTTCTGTACCCTCGCATTCCACTTCATCCAGAACAATAGGTCCAGGTCCTGGTCCAAAGGCACCGCAGCAGGAGAAGTTCTCCGCCCGTTCGTAGCCGAGCATTCGGCAAACTACGTTTGCATCACTTAGGTCCCAGTTGTCATCACACACTGTCCCCCAAGTACCAAGGTATAGAATCTCAACACGGCCTTCTTTGTCAGATTTTCCGCCGACCAAACGAACCCGAAGATCATCTGAAATAATGTGACAACAATATCAAGGTAAGGGTTATTACATATTGTGTTCATAATTTACAGGGCTAATCCTATTGCTAACTGTATATATTTGTATGAATGTCAAATAACGTGTTCAAATTAACGCCAAAGGGCTTCCCGGGAGGTTTCATGGTAGATAAGATACAAACAAATATTAAAAAATTGGCACGCGGAATGCGCATCGGCACGGGCGTAAATCTGCAATTGATACCTATTGTTCAGGGGGGGGGGGGATGATCTATTCATTCATCCCCCCTGAACAATAGGTATTACGTAAGGATTTACGCCCATGCGCATCGGTATTGCGTGCGTCCCCCCCCCCTTCACTCAGTGTTATTTAGGGTACGCATATGCATGTTCCCTCCTTTTGAAATCACCCCCCTAAGTCCGGTGTTTCAAGTCAATACGGGCCGGATTTTTGTGTACTACGAGCCGGACTTTGGTGCGTAAAAAAGTACCCCTTTACCGGACATTTTTTTAACACGCATGGTATCCCTCCGTTCACGGAGTGGGAGGGGGGGGGGGCTGTCGTCGCTTTGTATTTGGATGCCCCGTGTTTCAGATAAAAACACAAATTGTGAACACCGAGAACTGCCAGCAAATACTTAGAAAACAGCTTATAACGTACAGTAAATATAGTGCCCTCATCGTTCACTGCGTTGAGGAGTGTTTAAAGGGTTCTAGGACACCTACCCACTGGACATCCACCCCCTGGATAACCACCCCCAGTCAACTACCCCCTAGGGCAACCAACCTCTAGACGACTACCCCGGGACAACTACCCCCTAGGACAACTATCCCATTATCGGAACAACTACCCCCGGACAACTACCCCCAGACAACTACCCCCAGACAACTACCCCCTAGGACAACTCCCCCCGGACAACTTTCCCAGGGGTTAGTTGATCCGGGGTATTTCTCCGGGTGGTAATAGTCCGGGGGCAATTGTTCTAGGGGGTAGTTGTTCAGGGGGTAGTTGTCCGGGGGACAGCTGTCCCACGGGTAGTCGTCTTAGAGGGTGGTTGCCCTAGGGGGAAGTTGTCCTAGGGGGAGTTGACTGGGGGTGGTTATCCGTCGTGTGGATGTCCAGGGGTAGGTGTCCGGATATGGTATTAAAAAAAATGCATAAGGAAAATCTTCGTAAATCAATCTGCTGTTGATAAATATTCTTTAAAAGTATGTTTTTGATATATTTTGTTTGTATCTTTGCTTTTGTGGAAGGTATGTTTACATAATCAGATTAAGTACTGGACTGCTGGACAGGACATGCTAAACATGCTTTCTACAAAATGCAGTTGTTCTGTATCTTTCTTCTTCAAATTCAAATGATTTTATTTCTCATGCAAAACAATACAATGAATATAAAGTATATTTTTAAAAAAAGTAATGAAACAACAAATATAAAAGAAATAGCACGAGAAAAGAGGAACTAGCTTGTAGCAGAGCTTGTTGAAGTGTTAGTTCCTCAGATGCTGTTTGACAATACAACTTGAACAAAGTATACTCAGAAAATCAATAAATATACAAAATATGTAGCAAAAAAATTATCGAATTTTAGGGGGGGAAATTAAAAGAGAGGAAAAATGGAGGAACTTGAATAGTAGAAGGTAAAAAGAAAGAAAGATACAAAACAAAACGAAAATGTATAATTGCGAAAGCTCTAGAAGGAGGTTAGATCAGTTAAATGAGGGAGAACGAGAACTGAGTTTTAATTTAACATGGATTGTTCAAACATTATTATGAAGCCCTTGCTTGACTCCTGTTGAGTGATTTGGTGCCTCCTAGAAACGTTGGAAAAGTGGTATAATTTCTGACATTTCAAACTTGTTTCTTGAAATCTACACTACACTTCGCCCGGCCAAGTTGTAAGTGCACCATACTCAAGTTTGCTCATCCTTGACTCTACTGACAATACCGTTTTGGACACTCCATTATCAATTGAACAATGGATCTGCTTTGTCCTTTCATAATTGTTCTCAGCTAAGCTGCCTGCTCTATAGGTACTGAATGCAATTACGGAATATATTGGCAGGTGATGTTGACCCAAACCCGAGGCCAAGAGATCCTGGTCCTATTCACCAACAAAAAATTAAGGGTGTTCTTGAGAATGCGTGTAGTTTAGTGAAACGCCATGAGAGAGGCTCGTAGGCTTAGCGTAGGGGTATGGTTCATATCAGGGTTTTCTGCTTCTTCTTTTTGTTGTACGTTGCTTCTCTACTCGACTGTCCTCCTACTTAACTCTTGCTCATTTTATTTTTTTCGCGATTGTACACATAGGGGCGGTACGTGACTTTTAGTCCTGTTATACCTTGGGAAATCCTCTCGAAACTCTTGACTATTAAATATGGTTTAATTCTTACCCATTTTTAAGCATGAAACTCCGAGATCGTATGTATGTCCACACCCAGTGTTACCCAGATCATAATATGGATCACACTCAAGAAGACTCGATTCTTTTCCAGAGCATCTCGGCCAACGTAGTAACACTTCCCCTGTCCCACGTCCGTATGATGAGGAGGTTGAATATGCTATAGCCCCGACGAATCCTAACATTCTGCAGACCACTTCTGAGTCCAACGAGGTCCAGCTGTAATGGCAGACAGTACCCCATGACCCGAAGTAGAACAACTCAATACGACCTTGGCTCTCATCCGGTCCGTCTACGAGGCGAACCTTGAGTTCAGCTGCAAGTGGAAATCACAAAATGAACGAAATGGATTTCATTAAGAATGTTTAAATCATCATTACGAAATAAGGAAACAAAATTACCCAAACAATGTTACAGCCATGGCTTTAGATAATAATTTGGCCAATTCATGTTAAAGAGGCGACAGATCGTACGCCTACTATAGCAAGTTCCTTAAAACGTTCAAGCCTGCGCACTCAGTCGGCGCCGTATTAGGCCAGATTCTGTTTTCGTTTGTGTTAAATTGGTCCAGCTGCCTTCTTTTGAAATGTGTTATCTTGGTTTGTACAAATTACTCACTGTTAACTGTCTAAAAATTCCTTTTTTAAACGTTTGCGAATTTATCTGAATGTGCATGTAGGCGCATTCTCATACTTTATAAAAGCATTGAAATTTTCGCTAAATAGTCCCCATTTGCGGCTGGATATGTACAAGTAGGGCTTTTATGTATATGAAGACTTTTACATGATATACATGAAGCGCTGGTTCAAATCCGCCACTGAGGGAATAAAAAGTAAGCAATAACATTAGGATGATGGTATACAAAATATAATCACACTTGAAATTAAACCTTCGAAGTAGAAAATGATGAATTTTGTGCTTTTAAGTACATGATTCACAAGCATTTTCTTTCTGTAGCCGCTTTAAAAAAATATAGACAAGTCATTGTCATGCGATTGCATTATGAAAGAAACGTTGGGGAATCGATCAGAAAAAGTTGATCATCTAGCATATAAGTATTGGTGTGTACTGCAAGGTTCTGGAATCATCAACATGATAACAAATTTGGCCCAGTCTTGGTAAGGTTACATGCACTGTACACATAAAGATGTATATGGGACTACCCTATATCTATCCAGTCCGGATAGATATAATAATTTACCAAATATCAAAATAAATCAAATCAATTCTGGTTTATTGTAAATAAAAACATACTAAATAAAAAATCCGGAGACTCATACAATTAAGTTTATAAATTATAAATACATACAAGAATAAAGAAATCAATACTTTTAGCAATCTTTATATTATTAATGATTCTAATGAACTAAACAACTGATATATATCAATTAGTAGGCAGTTTCCCTTTCAAGTTTGTACTATCACGTAGTAGTCAAAACTTATTCTTTCACATGATTGATAATTAGAGTTTCCATTTCATTTTTTTTTGAGAGGGGGGCGTTTCCAAAACTGGTCTTTACCTTGAAAGATTAATTAGAGTTTTGGTCATGCGATTGCATTGTGAAAAAAACGGTGTGGAACCGATCAAATAAGTTGATCGTGTAGCATATAAATATTGATGTGTACTTCATGGTGGTGTGTACCGCAAGGTTCTGGAATCATTAACATGATAAGAAATTTGGCACAGCCTTGATAAAAGTAACAAGCACTGTAGTACTGTACACAGAAAGATGTTTATGGGACTACACAACAAGAGGCATACAAACGTGTTCCTTATTTTTAAGCTGTTACATGTCATATTTAAAATATGAAGGTATTTGAAGAGCCATGCTTTTCAGGAAAAATTTGTCTCTGATGTTTTTTTTTCACCTCCCCAGAACTCAACCTTCTCTTTAAGTCGCCGCCTTTAATACGGGGAAGATTTTAAATGCACGTTTTTACTTTCCTTTTTTTTTTTAATTGATAATCACGTTTTCGTAAATTGTAAGTTTACCTGCTCCGCTGCATATAATACCAACGTCTCTAGAATGATCACAGTTGTGGATCCCATAGCCGCCATGTGTGCATTGTGCGATGTGCGTTTCTGACCCTTCACATTCGACGTCGTCGAGGAAGATATCCCCTGTGGCTTCTCCGAAGCGCACCAATGCATAAGAGACTCCAGGGTAACCTATCATTCGACAAACGACGGTAGCGTCGTTGATATCCCAAGAGTCATCACAGATTGTACCCCATGATCCTTGGTAGTTCACCTCGACTCGGCCTTCATTAGGCGAAGCCCCATCAACAAGACGCACAGGAACTGATCAAAACAAAATAATGGTGTATATATGTGGTCTGAATGTGGCCGATATGGCAACAAAATATATAGAAAGGTACATAATTAAATATATAAGACCAACCGGAGTAAAATACCTCAAAAGGAAGCAGCAAAAATACAGAAACAGATTGGTGAAAGTTTAAATGAAATTGGACAAACAATAAAAAGTTAAGATTTTTTTTTTAAATCAGTAATTGCTATACGTATAGGCATATCAAATTGGTCGAATCGGTAGTGTCAAAGTGCCGTAGTACGGAATAACTTCCCTACCCGTTTCAACACTAAAAATTACTAGCCTTTCAATTTTTTTTTTAAATGTACGACTCAGCACGAAAATTTGATGGACAACTTTTGTTGAACACTTCGCAAACTATGATTAGGGTAGGTACAGCGAATTGAAGACCCTTAAGCACATTTACATAATTTACATAAACATGACAAATTTTACGCATACAGAAAGTTTTGTATTTTCTTCAGTAACTTCTTCTCTACATTTGGTAACAAAACTATGGGCATGATTTAACTGATTAATAAGATAACAATGATTGATGACGTCAGCACCAAAGGTCTCTCTTTACCTGCATGTGCAGGTAATTAGAGACCGTTACAAATCAAGACATTTTAAATACAATTTAAATGAAAATGGGATTGTTATGGTTAGTTCAAACACTTTTTGAAAGAGATATATGCAGCCAATGAACTTACTGTAATTTTTAAACGATTTTAAAACAATGCGGCCCAAAATATGCCTGTGCAATGACAATTGACCAACCAGCATCTGGTCATTGACTGTCCTCGGCATACTCGACATTCACAACAAACGCCCACATCTCTCTCTCTCCCTCTTTTTCTCTCTTTAAACTTCTCTCCTTCTTTTTCTCTTTTAACCTTCCCTTTTCTCTCTTCTAGCATCTACTGGACTTATGATGATTATTGTTGTCTCGCCGAAATCTGACTCTCTTAATTTTCATTAATGTATTACATGTAATTAGGAATAATATGTTTATTTAATTATGATCATTCCAATCCCGGCTCTCTCTCCCTCTCTCTCTTCCTTTCTCTCTTTGTACCTCCCCTTTTCTCCCATCCCCTCTCTCTCTCTACTCCATTCGCTTTATCACTCTCACTTTCATGAGCCATTTACCTTCCCCTGCTCTTGTATATCATCTGCTAGTACATCATTTTACGTTATGTACATAAGCAAACGCAATATGATTCTGCTTTATTGTCATTATGTTACAGATTTATTTACTATTTGCAATGACGAATATCGTCGATCCTTGTTTTCGTTCACATTCTGCACCATTAATATTCTTCTTCTTCTTTGCAGAAAATCGCATTCGTTTTGCACATAGTGTTTGTTATTCCTAGTTAGGTGCTTTTCTAATGTCCATTTTTGTTCAAATTTCATGGGCATAGTCTCTAACATCTCATCAAGGTCACCTAGTTTTTCGATTTTCGAAATCACTCATGCATAACCATCCAGGCGCCATTTTGTCCGTTTCTGGTCCATTTTAAGGCCTTTCTTCATTCCTTCCTATCTCCACTATCCTAGATCCTACAAACTTCTAACAAATTCCTTTAAATAGTCTAAGAGATGTTCTTTCATCTGCGACGCATAACTTGACCTTCAAAATGCCATCTTCGTACTCAAAATTCAAATCTGAAACCTACTCCGTCAAAAATCTCTCAAATTCTTGAAAAATCGACCCCTAAAAATCTTAAAACTGCCATAACTTTCTCATCTAAATTTCGTTTTGTATTTAAGTATCACCGTATCCTTATCCCATAATTGCACTTAGCCATGCCAAATTTCATGCTCCAATGGCTATGCAAAACATAAATAGCGCCCTCTAAAGTTCTGGGAATTGGCTTTCTTTCTGTGGCCGTATCTCCATTATGGCTTGGCAAACCCGTACCCTTTTTTGGATTTAGATACTTGAAGATATGCCCTTTCCAGCCATATACGAAATTATATACCCTATTATTGACCAAATTTGAGAAAATTGCCCTCCAAATATGCAGTTTTCAAGAAAATTGCAAAATAACTTCAACTTGCTCTAAACTTACGATCCTTAAACCTACGACAATGAAACTTGACAGACATATGTATCTATATACGTGACAACGGTCTGCCAAGTTTGGTAAATTTCAATGACGTCAGCACAAAGTTATCGCTAAAAATGAGGAATTTACTGTGCATTACGTAATAGCGCGTCTAATGCGTGCAGTACATTGCGCGCAGATGACAATGGTGTCAAACTGACCGCAATGAAGTGCCCTTCTGAATGATACCAAACACGTTATACGTTATCACAGAAAATTGTGAGTAAATCGCATTTGTACAAGGATCACTATACGAATTCCGCCGAGTTTCCGCCCAATTATAACACGTATCGGCTATGACGTCATTTTTTCAGACTGCTTTTCGCCCCCTAAACGTCATTCTTTTTCCTTGAAAATTGGCAGTGACATTACGAGTTGCATTACGCAGGGCACCCTAAGGCCGGATTTTTAAAATTGGTCAAGGGGGCCATTTAAGACGCCATTTTGTCCTGTAAATCTTTTTTTGCATCACGTGTTTCAATAGGATTATCATAGCAAAGAATAAAGTGGTTTACAATAACCACCATGAAATTGTCTTTCCAATAATCCCAAATACGGTCTATAAAAAAGACATAAAGAGTGAAAAAACAAAACAATTTAAATCCGGTCACAATACAGATCTTGTACGTTTTCCGCCCATGCATTACTCGCATTGTCTATGGGGCATATCGGGTTTACGCTTTCGGCCCCCAGAACGATCTATATTTTTCTTGAAATGTTTTTATAATTTGTCAAGGGGGCATTTTAGACCCCATATTATACTGTTTATGATAATGTTAGTATAGACGACCGTTAGTGCCAATTCGCCCGTCATTGCACGCATATCGTTGTGCCACGATTGCAGGTCTAGTGTTCGTAATACTATTGTGCATGTATATAATTGACATCACTGTACCTTTGTAAAATGACTCTTTCAGCCTTGTGCTGCTGGTCGATCATTATATACCAATAAATGAATAATAATAATAATAATAATACTAATAATAAATCTTTGACCTGGTGTCCCCCATTACCTACACACATTTCTTATCAGACACCATTCATAATGTGCTGTGACTTTGATGTTGGCTTCTGTTATTAATAGTATTTTTAGTATTATCATTCTTACGTTTGATGCACGTTACTCCTACATCATCACTGTGTTCACAGTTGTGCGTTCCAAATGGATTCTGTATACAATGTCCAATCGTCACTTCCTCTCCCGAACATTGGAGATTATCCACGAAAATGTCACCAATCCCTGGGCCGAATGCCGCACAGCATGAAAAGGACTCCGCGAAGGTATAACCTAGCATTCTACAAACTACATGCGCATCAGTCAGATCAAAGCCATCGTCGCAAACGGTACCCCGTGTATTTTGATAGAGAACCTCGACCCGACCTTCTCTACTACTGCTCCCGTCTCGCAAATAGGCGTCCACTTTTGTAGATAAAAGAAAAAGAAAAGCGATTAGGAAATGTGAGGAGAGAGGGGAAAAGGGGTAGTAAATCATTTTAAAGCAATAAACAGGCTACCATATAGATAACGTAGAGTTAATTCATATGTTTGAATTTTTAATAAAAGTCTAATTATTTGTAGGCCTACCGAAACATGTTTTGAAACTATTTCACTTCTCAAAGTTATGTAGTTTTCTTTTTGTAAAGCACATTATCATTTAAAACTAGCTTCACCGCATTGTTCTTATTTCTGTTTCCAGCGTTGAGGTAATTATGTAATATTGGAATATGGCCTCGAGTGTATAGGCGGTTATATCGCACGAGTTATAAACATGTTTTAGGAGTTGGCACGACGAGTAAAATATTACCAAAACAAGTGCCTTTTTACCTTTGTTCACCACCCAAAAAATGCCATACAACTTTATTATTTACAATTATATGAAACCTACTACCATTGACGAAGTTCACTATTAAATCCGAGAGTTGTTTGTATTTACTTACACAGTAAACAAAGTAATAAATAATTTGTCCTTAGCTTACCCAGGGATTTTGTACTGGTTACCCTTACATCCAGTGTCTTAGCCCTTGCGTATTTAACGCGTTTTCACGAAACCATGAATGTTTTAAAAGTACACCGTCATCTGAACTAGCGTTGTTTAGAGCTCTTCATCACGCATAAAGTAAGATACGGTCACAATGGTTCGTACGAACGATGCGTTCATACGAATTCCAAAGTTCGTAGAGATTCATAGATGGGGCATAGTTTCTTACGTCCTTCTTACGGAGTTCGTACGAACGCCGTTAAATTTTTCGTTTGTTTGTGTGGTAAGAATGCCTTGAGTTTTTTTAACGTCAGAATTACGACTATCGTACGAGTTTCTGTTCTCACAAGATGGTCGCACGTGTAACTTACGGCATTCTCAAGTCATTCGTAAGAACATCTTACGATGTGTGTATATATTTCGTCGGGTTGTAAAAAAAGCGCTGCATAAATTGTGTACGTACACCTTACAAGCACCTTGCGATCGCCAGGAGTCGTACGAACGAAGGCCGTACGAATCTTCATTCGAAAGGCGTTCTTATGAACGCCGTAAGAGCCCTCTATGAACAACTTAAGGCGTTCTTATGATCATCAGAAGAATTTGAGGCTTCCAGAAATTGTCTCTCGACCCTACAAAATGTACGCGATCTTGCTTAGTTTTTACGATGTTCTTATGACGTTCGTACGTCCACCTTATGAATATATTCTTTAGTACGAAGTTGAAAAATCTTTGACAAGACCATCGACCAGTCTGCGAACTTACGAACGGTCTACGAACGCTGTTTTTGTACGGTCTCCTTAAGAAGATCTTACGAAATGGTCTAAAAAAATGTTCGTATGGCGTTCGTAACCGTTCCTAGCCGTTCGTTATGATATTTGTGACCGAGGCATTAATTGCATAAATTCGACGAAATCTACGAAGAGCTTGTGTGGTTCTTGCGGTGTTATTACGACGTTCGTACGGCCGCCGAACGAATAAAAGGGTTTCGTCCATCGACCAGTCTGCGATCTTACGAACGGTCCACGAACGGTCTACGAACGGACTACGAAAGCTGGTTTCGTACGGCCTTCTTAAGAAGGTCTTACGAAATGGTCCGACGAAAATCGTTCGTACGGTGTTCGTAGTAGTTAGTAATGGTATTTGTGACCGAGGCTTAATACACGCGTGTAGAGCTATGCCCAGTTAATATATTTCCTTTTACTGCCCAGCCCTTAACAGCAAATTTCTATACTGCACTTTTGACCAATCAGATGCCTAGAATCTTCACATGCCGGGGTTTATAAAATGAATTATATACCTCACTTAAGAAATCCAGCCATCTGATTGGTCGAAATTGCAGTCATGGTTTTAGCCATTCCCGTAAATAAATGAAATATGCCACGTCCATGTGATAGTTCGAGGGTAAAATTCAAGTTACCAGGAATAGTTGAGTCTTGCTTAAAAACTGGTTTAAGCGATCGCGGATACCCGCGGATACCATACATTGTGTGTGTGCGAAGAATTGGTCGCTAGACATCAATAACACCAAAAGGGTAGGCCCTACGTTTCATTATTAGCCGTAGATCTAAGTATTGCTTGCGATAACGGTGATACAGGTATTGAAGATTGTATAATGCAAGTGTTTGAATTCATGTGGTGGATGAAAAGTTGAATTCTACGCCGTTTTGTGCGTCATTGCAGCGCTGAATTTGGGGTGTTTGTCGCTAACAAACTTGATTACCATGATTGGTAAGTCGTACTTGTATTCTATGGCCCTTTTCGGTATATACAAGTATTAATGACTGCTTTAATTTTCGAAACATAGTTAAAATAAATGTATACAGTTACCAATGCCGTCACACGTGACTCCCGCATCTTGACGATGCTCACAGTTGTGAGATATGTAACCGCTATGTTGACAGAAGGCGATGTTTGACTCAGATCCCGTGCAATTCACATTATCCAGGATAATTTCCCCTGTCCCTTCGCCAAAGGTTGCGTTGATGTAATAAGCAGAAGCACGTGGATATCCCAATGTGTGGCAAACGACGTGGGCGTCATCTAAATCCCAGTCATCGTCACACACTGTACCCCATGCACCTTGGTAGAAAACCTGAACTGTACCTTCAAAGGATCCTCTCCCACCACGCAAAAACACACGTAGAGGTTCTGTTAATATCAAACAATAGTCATTGACATTAGCATGTGCATCAAATATCTTATAAATACCCCAGTCATACCAACGAGACCAACGCCAGACCGAAGAAATCACTGAACGAGTAATTGCAGTGCTTCAAATGGCAAAGAATCGGTTGGTTTGGTGTTTGTTTGTTATTGGTTTGGCCGTGTGACTGTATATTATCCATTAGGGTCACTTTCCAGCTAAACGTCGTATGGTCACTTACGCATTTTCAGACTAATACATCAAAGGCAGAATATACTCGGAATAAAGAAGAATGATATACATTCAAAGTTCATTGCATTGTGCATGAGTTGTCATGTAATTCGCTTAAAGGTATAGGCTAGACCAGTTCTGGTCATGCGATTGCATTGTGAAAGAAACGTGTGGAATCGATCATAAAAGGTTGATTATGTAGCATATATGTATTGGTATGTACTGCAAGGTTCTGGAATAATCAAAATGATAAGAAATTTGGCCCAGTCTTGGTAAAGTTACAAGAACTGTACACATAAAGATGTATATGGGACTACGCGATATCTATCCAGTTCGGATAGATATAATAATTTACCAAATAAATCAATTAGTAGGCGGTTTCCCTGCAAGATTTGTATCATCAATGTATTAGTCAAAACATATTCTTTCACATGATTGATAATAAGAGCTTCCATTTCATTTTTTTAAAGGGGAACTACAGGGACAACTAAAATGTTGACCTTTGACATGCCATAGGTTTTGCATTGGATGCATTATGTCCAATTTGAACGACGATTTTGGATTTGCAATTGTTATTAAAGGGCAATGACGTCAAACATGTGCTTATTGTTTGTTGATTAGCCAGTAACAACATAGATTATGTAGTAGATAAACATTTGTTTTCATTCCCTCAAACCCCTACGACATGTCCACAAGAGTCTGAAAAATGTTGGTTGTATGACCTGTACAACTTTGAAGCTATTCAAACACAAACGATGAAACAGTTTCAATTTAAGGGGATTTCTATTCCAATATAAGTTTGTAAGTAGTGAAGCAGAACATTTTCAAGGGAACATCGACATCGAAGTGAGGCCATATGATAACAAGAAAAGTAAGTAATGATCCATTTTCTGTGAAGATCTCTGTAATGATTGTGATTTTTTTCGTCGTGGCAGTCAGTGGGCTCTGTGCATTGTCACAACGAAATACCCCCTATCTCATTATCTTGTAATATTGTCTTACCAAATAATATCAACTGATTCAATAAACTCTAATTTAAACCGTCGACGTTAAAATGTATATCTAGAAACGATCAGAAGTTTATCATAGATTATTATCCCCTGATTGTACCTTAACCTTTGATATGTATATGTACATTCGCAAAGCAGAGTGTAAGGTTTATAATGGAATCATGTAACTTGAACTTTGCTTTGTATAATTATGTACATTATGATTAAAAAGATACGATTGAATGATTTTAGAAAAACATTGTGGATTTGCCAGTGGCATAAACCTTCTAATGAGCAATTATGACTTGAGTGTTTAGTCATAGTGATCCAGGTACAGATGTAGACTAGCTCTACCCCCCCCCCCCCGCAAAAAGAGTCTATTCCTAGCTTCCCAATCCTACACCCCCCCCCCCCACCAAACCTGATTGTGTTTTTATGGTACTGAGTGCCTTGTTTGAAATGTTTAGAAGAAGAAAACATATTTATAAAAATTATGTATTCTTACATTTTTATATTACTATTTTTTAGGACTTCCGACCCCTTTTTTTTCTTTGTAGTTCTTGAGAATTCTAAATCCAATCCTACATATCGCATAGGTATTTCTGTCTAACTGTAAATGACATACACATACATATAAAGTGATAAATTGTGCATGGCATGTATTTGATCTTAGCATGAACCTTCTAGCTTTTTGTTGTCTTTAAATCTTAAATTCTATGGTACTAAGAAGCAATTAATGACCACAGAAGTGCAACAGAGAGCACCAGGACCTGATCGCCAGATGTTACGATGAAGATCTAATCAGGTACAGGACACCTGAGTTGAATTCTGGCAAGGTATGTGTGTATGAAGTTCGAAATTATTCAGGCTGTATGCGAATATTGCTCTCATCTTGAACTTACATTACTGTGTGTGTGTGGGGGGGGGGGGAGCTACAGCCCTCTTGACTAGAAGTCTAAAATTACCAATATTATGTTGGTTTATATCTTTTAATTCTCATTTATTCGGTAGCTTTTTAATATTTCGATGACAAATTACTGTGTTGCTAAATAGGCCGACTAGTATTCACTTATCATGATATCAAAACACATGCTCATAGCCATTTTTTTCAATATCAAATTATTTCAAACTTGTTCTCACAACATTTAACAACTATACAGTAGATAACACTTTTATTTATAAGCAGCGTTATAAGTAACAACCATTTACCTCTACTAACAATGGACTTCCTGTTATTGTATGGCGCAAATGTAAAATAACAAAATAATGATTGAATAACAAAGAATTTTAAAAGTTACATGTACAATTTTGGAAAAAAATATTAAGCTTTATTATACACTTTAACACACGACCTTTCACATTGACATAGGTCTATAATTTTAAATAAAACTAATATGTAAGACATAACAAGATTATGTCGATAGCAACGTAAGCACTTTTTTTTTTGGGGGGGGGGCAATAGTTTGAGCTAGAACACAGGGGAGAAATGGGGGGAGGGGCATGAACTGAGAAACAGGACTAATTTTGGAAGGAGAATAATGAGGATATTGAAATAGAGAAAGGGATGATAGAGATAAAGGGAAATATGAGATAGGGGTCATACAGAGAGAAAGGGGGGGGGCGATAGAGACAGAGAGTGGGTGGAGGGGGAGGGGGCATCAAGATAGAACAGAGAGAAAATGAGAGAAAAGGATGACAAGGGTAGACCCATATAATTATTCATCTCCTATTGCCACTATCAAGCTGTGTCTGATCCCAGTAAAAAATACATTCCCATCTTAAAATAACAAAATGGTCCACAGTTTTCAGTCGTGATTTAAAAAGAAGGTTGAGTTCTGGGGAGAGGTGGAAATTTTTTGGCTTTATCACTGTTATTATGCAGGTGTGTGAGAACGTCAGAGGACAAATTTCCCCTGAAAACCATGTTTTTTTAAATCCTTTCTTATTCTAATTATAACAAATAACAGCTTAAAGAGAGGCCCGATTTTTATGCCACATGTTTGTGTAGTCCCATATACAACTTTCTATGTATATACAGTGCTTGTTACTTTACCAAGACTGGGCCACATTTCCTATCCCTTTGATGACTCCAGAACCTTGCAGTAACACACCAACACTATATGATCAACTGTTTCTGATCGATTCCACTCTGTTTCTTTCACAATGCAATCGCATGACCAGAACTCAACTGTATCTTTAATGGTACATTGAATTTGAAGCATTTATGTATGTTTAAACATGCCAATCATGTTGGTATCCGATTTTCTCATCAGCGCGCCTCTAAGACACAAAAGTCTATGATGATTTGCGCACAATAATCAGTGGGCCTCATTATTTTTTTTTGTTAAACCCACTATATTGAGAGATGTTTATTTAGCTGGCTGTACTGGTACCATTTGTCAATATAAGTAAAACTTTCTACATCAAACCAGGGAGGTGAGACTTTAACTCACATGCCCTGATCAAACCAAAGATTTCATGGATTGCGCATGAGGAACCCTGTTTATCAACTAGATAACGTAATGATATAGTTTGTTCGGTTTGACGTCATTCTCGGGTTAGTCTCATTTATGTCACTTAGCATTTGAACATAATTTATGGCAAAGTTTTCTAACCCATAAATCTCGGGAGGATAAAAAACAGTCCAGTTGAAACGAAAAACGATTACTATAAAGCAAAAGTATACTTTTTATTTCTCTCAATAGCTATTCATTTTTCTTGTACATATTTCACTTGCTAACCGTAGTTATTGCTAATTTCGGTTCTGACTTATTTTTAAACATAACGTGTCTCTTTCCGCCCCGCCCTCCTTGATAAATAAAAATGTATTTAACTTAAACAAAAAGTAAAAGGCTTCATCGTCAAAACAAAAACAAGCACAACACGTGATTCTTGAAAGAAAACATGTAAGGTAGAAGGAAACCAAAGGACTGTACTTTACACGGTGATCTGGTATCCTGGGTTTGTTGGTACAAGTCATGAATAAATTACTAACGGTGTACATACACACTTAACAAGGCAAGCCGTACCATTGCTCTGTAATTCCCCATATTGTAAGCTTGATAAGCTTTGTAGTTTGTGCTGGATTTTACAAACCCAAAGTAGTTGTAACTCACCAACAGCATATGCGGATGCCATCACGTGCATAAACAGAAGCAAACCAATAATTCTGAATTCATCTGGTTTCTTCATCTTGTTAGGATTAATTGAAGCCAATCCCGACATACCAGATACTCGAATGTCTAGAATTTATGTGCCTTCTATTTCCTTGTTGTTGTGATTATTCCATATGTTGACGCGCGATTGATTAGCAACCATGCTTTGAAGCAATACATGCATACGGGCATTTCGACTTTTTATGGGAGATGAGCTTTATAGGGGCGGAGTTGTTTCTTTTGTCTGAATGCCCATGCGTAGATGTGTCAACGACAACAAAAACAATGAATCGCCTTGTGAAGGGGTTGGGAAGGCAAAGGAGGCAAAGTTCCGCACAAATTTCGAGCCTCAAATTTCACAAAATTCCTATTTAGCATCATTTACATGAGATGATCTTTCAGGAATAAGACGTATAGAGAAGTCTTTTAAAAAGACTTCTTGATGCGTCTTATTCGTGTATAGATTACTAGTGATTTTGCGGGACTGGGCAAGTATCTTCGCTTCTGTCGATTCTACATCTACACAAAATTCAATCAAATGACAACAATGGCCCTGTAGCAGAGCTCTGCCTTGCAAAAGCTTAAGAGCACATTATTTTATTTTTTTATTTCGAAAATTTGAAGATTTGGCAGACAAATATTTCGTTCAGTTGAGGGGGGGGGGTAAGGTCACCTTTTTTTGGTCACCCTTTAGCACAATTTTTAATTTTTTTAATTTTTGTTTTAATTAGAGGTTGTTTTTCTCATCCAAAACACACATATACAAAACAAGTTGAGGGGGTTCGACCTACCCCCCCCCCCCTAGTCTAGTTTTGGACCCTTTTAATGATTTTTTGTATTCGCCGGCTATAAGCGTTAGGCCGAGTGATG